ACCTAAAGAATCTCCCCATCTTGAACCCCTACTCAACTTTTCCTTCAACCCAAACGCAGCTGAACCCCACGAACCTGCTGGGACTGCTGGTGAACTCGTGTGGAATCGGGTGGTACGCGTATGAGAAGTTCTTGGAGGCAAAGCGGAAAGCCTTGTACCTGGGTTCGCCAGCTCGCCTCAAAGGCAGCCGCCCCACCACTGACACCATGACCATCACCAGAGATGGCTCCCAGGTGAGTGCTGTTGAGGGCTTGGGTGGTACGTGTATGAGAAGTATCTGGAGGCAAAGCGGAAAGCCTTGTACCTGGGGAGCTCGCCTCAAAGGCAGCCGCCCCACCACTGACACCATGACCATCACCAGAGACGGCTCCCAGGTGTGCGGTTTGGAAAAGATTCAGAACAGGAGGGGAGCTATGTAGGTGGAACTAGCAGGACAGCTAGCCCCACCACTGACTGACACCTTGACCATCACCAGAGACGGCTCTGTGAGTGGGTGTGGAAACGATTTTGAACAAGGGAGAAGAGAAGCTGCGTAGGTGGAACTATCTGGGCAGCTAGACGCACCACTGACACCAAGACCATCACCAGAGACGGCTTCCAGGTGAGTGCTGTGAAACGATTCAAAAACAGGGGGAAGCTGTGCAGGAGGAATTAACAGGGCGGTTAGCCCCATCACTGACAGCATGACCCCCAGAGATGACTCTCATCTGGGTATTGTGGAGATTATGTGTACCGAATTTAATTGCTGTGGTAGCTGGAATGGAAGTAGTAGAGCAGCTTACTCCATCACTGGCACCATGACCATCAGCAGAGGCAACTCACATGTGAGTGTTGTTGGGACAATCTAAAACAAAGGGGGGAGCTGAGTAGGTGGGATTAGCAGGCATTTGAATCCCACCACTGGCACCATGACCATCACCATGGACAACTCATTGGTGAGTGATGTTGGAACAATCTAAAACAAAAGGGGAGCTGTGTGTAGGCGGGATCAGCAGGGCAATTATTCCCATCCCTGGCACCATGACCATCACCATGAACATCACCATGCACAACTCACTGGTGAGTGATGTTGAATCGATCCCATAGGCGCCTCAGAAGACAGGTCTCAGTCAGGTTTGGGAGATTGTAATAGAAGGGGAAAGTATATTGGTGAGGTTGTTGCCGAGGACATGTCTAATCAAGGGGCGAAAAACTTGTTGCTGGGACTGATATGCTATCTAAAGGCAGCCCAGTACTCGTATCATGACTACTACCACATACAGCTCACATGTAAGTCAACACAAGGGAAGGACACGTACTGGAGAGATGAGGTAACGGGCTGGATCCTTCGAGAAAAAGATGGCTCACATATTCCTCTCCTGATTGGTCAAGCTACTGTGCCACTGATGTAGAAATAATAACGACGTCTGTATTTCTAACCCGTGCTTGTGTGTGATGTTTTGTGGTCGAATGCAGGTATCTCTAATCTACACTGGCGAGGCAGATGGCCAAGACTCACGAAATGGCCTAGTTTGAACGTAGGGGCACACTTACAAAAGATGTTCCTAACAAGCTTAGCATAGCCATGACAATTTGTCACCTTAGATGGGTTGATAAGTAATCAAGTGCAAACCAAGTTGCTTTAGCAATGGTGGTGACTAACTCCCAGTTGCTAGCAAAACAAGGGTAGGATATGTACACTAACTCGATAATATATATAGTTCGGATTTTGATTCTACATTAAATAATAGTTAAGAGAAGATTGGCTGACAGTTTTACTGTAATGAGGTGCTACACGAGGAGGACAGTACCTAAATGCAGCTCACCACGGTGGAGGCTCTGCGACAAGCCAAACTGACTGAAGTCAGGTTTGTGACCTGCTCTGGTCATTCACGGGAGACTTACGAGGCACGTCTCTCAAGCACAAACCAGTCAGTCGTTCGGCAAAACAAGACCTTTTCCAAAGCACCCCGACTTGCGGACAAGCCTCGTTCGGCAACCCCAAACCTGGACGTGACACACGTTGCACGGCGGACGAGCCGCTTTGCGAAAGTCACCATGTTGGCCCGTCTTGCGCGACGGCGCGAGGAGTTTCCCTCGTCGTGACGCGCGACTCGATCCCCCACAACTCTCGCATCCCATTCCCCATCTTGAAAAATCTCAAGGCGAGGCGGAATTTGAATCAGCGGCGCGTCACTTGCGACATATCATGTGACTGCAGCCAAACACCGCTCCCTCCTCTTTCTTATCTGCTTCAACCCTACTCTTCCTCTCTTGCTCTTGGTGCTCCGCCGCAGTTTCGTTTCCCTCTTCTACATTCACAGAGTAAGAGCCGCCGTCCACTGGCTGACGACCCATTCTCCAGATTTTTCTGGTTTTTTTCTCATCGAGAAAAGGATACCGATCACGAGGAAGAACATTAAGCAGGACTTCTGAGCGCGTAGAGCTTGAGGTGGCGTCAATTGTTTAGCACAACGTTTTGAGGTTTAGCAGCTGCAAGCTGAAGCTAGCGCTTCAGAAATTTCTTAGACAAATCCGCACCATGGCTTGGAGATTCATGACGCTCGCACTCGTTCTCACCCTCGCCATCTTCGCCGCTGTCCCACAAGCCAACGGCGGCAAATACGAAACGTGGGCTAAGGGATTCACAGCCACATATTACGGCGGACAGGGCGACGGTGGGTCCTGCGGGTACGGCACCGCGCAGCAGTCGGGCTTCGGCGTGTTCACCGCGTCGGCCTCCGCGTCGCTCTACCAATCCGGATTGTTGTGCGGCGCGTGCCTACGCGTTAAGTGCGTCAACAGCCCGCTCTGCAAACCCGGCGTTTCGCCGATGGTGACCGTTAGTAACCTGTGCCCGCCGCTGTCGTCGGGGGGATGGTGCGACGGAAACAAGATGAGTCTGTCGCTCGCGCCGACGACGTGGAACATGATTGCGACAAATCCGAACATTGGGGTTGTACCCGTTGTAGTGAAGCGCGTGCTGTGCCAGCGGAAGCGGGGGATCGTGTTCAACGTGACGGGGAACCCTTACTACATTGAAGGTGAGAGAAATACCTTCCGCAAATCGCAATTTCGCAGTTCGCACTCTTGCACCGTGTTATTAACGTGACATTGCCCGTGTCAAGTGTATTGCCCGTGGCAATACACTTGATAGTAACCTATCAAGCACCGTGTTACTAACGTTCGTATAATATAACTTGCGTACGAAGCCCATATCTCGTCGAATGTTTCGGTGCTCTTCGTCGTGTGGTGATAATTCCGTCCCCCGGCCATTCCGCGTTTTTAGGCTTATTTCTTAGGAAACCCATCTGAAAGTTCGTCGCGTTTGTAGGCATGCAATAGCTCATACCCAATCGCCTCTTCCGCCTGCATGCTCTCTGAAAGGCTAGCTAGTATTGAACCCTGTCTCGAACTCTCCAATTCATGCTTTCCTCTCTGTCGCATCCATTGCAGCTTTAATCAGGAATGTCGCGGGATCGGGCGATCTGCGCCGCGTCGACCTGTCACTGAACCGCGGTCCGTTCCAGCCCATGGTTCGATCCTACGGGTCTGTCTGGACGTTTTCCGGTCAGAAGATGACGGGCAAGTCGCTTTCGTTCCGCCTCTTTTCGCGCAACGACAACGCGTCGCTCGTCATCTGGAACGCGCTGCCTCCTAACTGGGTCCAGGCCATGAATTACATCTCGAAGACGAATTTCGGCTTCGCGTAAGGACGGACTGGAAGCGGTGTAGAAGTCACGGTTCGGATGGGAAAACATACGTAACGTGATAATGTGGGCAACCGTGAAACACGGTGCTGGAAGCAGTCTAGAAGTGGTTGGTAGCGAAATAAAATTGGTAGGCTGGATTCGGAGTTTACTGAAATGTGACGTGTCGTGCTTTTAGCCGCTTTGAAACAATCAAGCAGTTTAGGTGTATCTATGTAACCTGTGGAATACCAAACCTTCTCGCCACATTTGGCGATAGTATTTTTTTTATGCTAACCTTGTGTATTGCCCTTGATAGTGCTTATTATAGTATACAACAGCAAGTTCTAATATGTCTGACCAGACACAGCCTGATGCATGCGGTTAGCAGGAGGTGGGGAAGCTGCATGGTGTGGCAAGAAACGTGAAGGATGGATAGAGTTTGTGTAGTAACACAGCGTCCTCATCCTCCTGCTCACTGCCCCTCTTGCGCCGACACAACATGAGTCTCAAAGACGCCTCTACATGAACATCACCCACGTGTGGGTGCAATGCCTCCTTTATGAGAGCCTTCAGTGACCTTCGAAATGTATGAAATGTATCCCAAGTATGGTACCGTACGTAAAAACATTTGACAGTGTACATTACACCCACAAACAAAGCACAAGCAGTGCCCTTCCAACAAGTCAAACATTAAATACAGAGGCACTATGTGCTGTGCATGTTCCTTCTTTCTGATTCCAGAAACACTCCCACAGCTCAAGCAAGCCCTCCCAAGCTACTAAAGCGTCTCTGCTGCACTACTCCTGCAGCAGCTCAAGATGAGCTGCTGCCTGGTGGAAATACAATAATAGACTAAGAAAAACAGGACCCCGTGATTCCTCTTGCAAATCCGTAGTTAACTGCGTAGCTGGTCTCTTTTGGCTCGTGGCTGATCCCTCCACGTCAGCAAGGAATAGGACCTTGTAGGCCCTTGTCAAACAAAAGGTGCCACAGGGATGCTCGCAGCTGACACGTGGCAGGACGAGATTGGAGGGCAGGAGAAATGCAGGTAAGCTACAGCAAAATATAGGTCATTGTCAGATCAAACAAAAGGTGCCACAGGGATGCTTGCAGCTGACTCGTGGCATGGTTGGGACAGAGGGGCACGGGACAAGGGGTTGAAATGGAGGGGATGGAGGATGGAGGCATAGGAAAGCGGTGCAAAATAGCTACGTTATTGTGAAGGATTGCTGCTTGCTACAGTCACAACTTAGCCCTCCCCACACCCTGCTACAGTCACATCCCGAAATGGTCACACCTTGGTCACACCCTTCTCATATCCTGCTACATTCACATCTCACCATCAGCCTCGAGTCTCGGGCGGCTCGAAATGTCCTCCTTGCAGAGCGGGCAGGAGGAGTTGATCTTGAGCCACGTGTCAACACAGGATTGGTGGAAGTGGTGGCTGCAGGGCAGCTCTCGAAGGTCCACCCCATCCCGATAGCGACCCAGGCAGATGCAGCAGAGCTGTGGGTGGAATGGGGTGGGGGGAGCGGGGGTGGGGGGAAACGGAAGAGAAGAGGCTGAGTACGGATGGAGAGTGAAGGTCCACCCCATCCCGATAGCGACCCAGGCAGATGCAGCAGAGCTGAGGGGTGGGGAGGGGTGGGGAGGGGTGGGGTGTGAGGGGGAATGGAAAAAAGAGCAAGGGAGCGCAGGGATCCATCCCATCCCAGCGACCCAAGCAGATGCAGCAGAGCTGAGGGGTGGGGTGGGGTGGGGTGAGGTGGGATGGAACAGAAGAGTATAGACATGGAACCCTGGAATCCACGGGACGGAGATAACAGAGAAAAGATAAAGCACATCCAGCAGAGATGGGTGGGTGAACCGTTGAGAAGACAGTGAGGGTAGATGGGAAGATTGGAGGTGGGTTGAGGGAAAATTTGATGAATTGACTCACAGCATCGCCCCCTCGCACTGGCCTCTGCTTGTCTGTGCCTGGCCAAAGCAGTCCCACCACACTCTCTTCCTCCTCATCCGAGTCCCCCTCACTCTCACTTCCCCCCTCCTTCTCCCTCTCCTTCTCACTCGCACTCTTCCTTCTATCTCCTGATCTCGCCACACAAGCCCCGCCAGTCGCACCAGCAGCGGCATTTCCAGCAGCAGCAGCACCACCACCACTGGCAGCAGCAGCAGCAGCAGCAGCAGCAGCAGGAGGACCAGCAGCAGCAGCAGCACCAGCAGGACCAGCAGAACCAGCAGGACCAGCAGCAGCAGCAGTGCGTCGCATCAGATATCCACCCAGCCTGCCAAACCACCCGCCCGTTCCTCCCCCAACACCCCCCCGCCCCTGCCCTGCTCCGCTCCCTCCTCCCACCGCTCCCCTCTCTCCTCCTGCCTCACAGGATCCTCCTCCCATGTCCGTTCCTCTTTTCCCACCCATCTTGGATTTCAATTGACCGTCTGGAACAACAGCTTTCCCTGCAGCAGCAGAAGCAACAGCAGCAGCACGTTTCCCTCGCAGCCGGACCACCCGTCCGCCCCGCCCATCCGGAAGCCTCCGGTACTTGAACGAGGGGAGAGTTGTGATGGCGGCGGTGGTGGCGCCTCTGCTGCTGCGCGCGAGGGGGAATGCGCCGTGCTCGTCGTCGTGGTGGGGGTGGCCGAGGAGGTGCAGCAGGCAGGGAAGGCAGCAGCATATGGCGGCACAGAGGAGGAACGGCATCGCATAGCTGACGCAGCTGAGCGTTATGAACAGCACGCTCAGACTGTTTGGTGGGGGATGGGGAGGGGGGTGGGCGGAGGGAGGAAAGGGGAGACAGGATACTGAGAGTGAGAGGCGGCTGTGCGTTTGGGAGAGCGCAAAAGGGGGAATGTAGAGAACGGGGGAGCAAGGGGGGGAGGGGAAAGGGAATGCGCCGTGGTCGTTTTCTTTGTGGTGGGGGTGGCCGAGGAGGTGCAGCAGGCAGGGCAGGCAGCAGCAGATGGCAGCGCAGAGGAGGAACGGCAGTGCGTAGCTGACGCAGCTGAGCGTTATGAACAGCACGCTTAGGCTGGGAAGTGGGGTGGGGGGGGGGGAGGGGGAGGGGAAGAGAGATGGGGAGTGGGCATGGCGCGTAGCTGACACAGCTGAGCGATATGAACAGCACGCTTAGGCTGGATATCGGGGTGGGTGGAGGGGATGGGGACGACGGGAAGGCAAGCAGGAGGCAAGGCGGAGAATGAAGATGGGGAGTGAGATGGGGGGCTGTCCGATTGGGGGAAGAACCACTGAATGCACTAAATGGGGGAGAAGGGGTAGAGGAGGGCGGGAGGCACCAGAGAAGGGGTTGAGGCGGGGAGGTAGGCACTCACTTGTAGAGGTTCGGCGCAGTGGTGGCAGCAGATGACTTTTGAGTCGACTCAAAGGTCATCTAGTGAGTCGACTCAAAGGTCATCAAGTGAGTCGACTCAAAGGTCATCTAGTGAGTCGACTCAAAGGTCATCTAGTGAGTCGACTCAAAGGTTGAGGCGGGGACGTAAGCACTCACTTGTAGAGGTTCGGCGCAGTGGTGGCAGCAGAGTGAGCGCCGAACACCCACACGTTCCCCAGCACGAACCATACTGCGAAGAAGCAGTCTAGGGTTACTTTGTAACGCTCCACTAGAGCCAGCACCCTGCAAAGGTCGGTTTACGAGGGGATGGGGAGACGTGGGAGAGAGAGAGAGAGGTTAAGGTCGGTTTGGGGAAACGGGGAAGAAGAAAGGGAGAGAAATGCGTTGGGATACGAAGATATTACTCGCATCGCCCCATGCTACCGCACATTGGCCTATGCCCACCGCAATGCACCCTTTACAGCCCTACGTCACCCTATACAACCGCACACCACCGCGGGCTCACCGTGCGTCGTCTTGAAGCTCGTCCACGATCCACCGCACACACGATAGCATCCTCTCCCCGATCGCCGCCGCAATGTGCCGAAACCCGCTGTACCGCCCCGCACCGTACACTTCATCCTCGTCATCGTCATCATCATAACCATTATAGTATATTGCACTGTACATGTCTACACCGCTGGCAGCAGGCCATCCACCTCCTCCCGCGATTTCGTTGCTCCTCTCGGGATAAAAACCACGGGCCGCCTCAGGCACCAAGCCTGCAGCACTAGCCGGTTCGGCGCTTCCAGTAACGTTGGCCCGGAAAGGGGTTGCCCATCCGCCCGCCGCCCCCCCTCCGCCTCCGCTCCCCCTTGCGCCTAGGTATGGGGTGTTGGGCACCGTTTGCGCCGCCGGAAACAGCAGTCCTTCCGGCGAGCGGGGCCGTAAGGACGAGAAGGAAGAGGAACTGGAAGAAGAGGAGATGGACGAGTGTAAGGAGGAGGAGATGTCGACCGCTGATATGGCGGCAGGGGCGGCACGTGGGAGTCTGAGAGGCGACATGGGCCGTGACGACGCCATTGCAGGCCGCGACGGCGTTTCGCGCAGCCGCCACTGGCGCCGCCGCCGCTCCTCCTCCTCCTCCTCCTGCTGCTGCTGCCACAGTAAAAAGTCCCCGCCGTTGCTGAGGGCGCGGTGAGTGTAGCGAAAGTACAGCAGCGGGAGGAGCAAGAGGCAGCCGAGCGTGTAACCGAGTATCCACAGGCGCAGCGGTACGGGGGGCTTCTCGTGGGGGAAAAGCGCGAGCACGCACACGCCCGCGGAAATTTGCGCCAGGATGCAGAGCAGCTCGATTGCCAGCCACACGCGGGAGTTGAGCGGAACGGGCCGCGCCAACGGGGAGGCGGAGGAGTCGGAAGGGCGGGGGGCGGGGGAGCGTGCGCGCACCAGGCGCGGAGGGGCGGAAGCGGGCGGGAGAAGGGCTGTGGAAAGAGGGGAGATTGGCGGAGTTGATAACGGTGGTGTGGTTGATGCCTGTGGTGAGGGATGGAAATGGCTGGTGCCTTGATGGGTGTAGCCGGAGGTAGTGAAGCGCTGCTGCTGTTGCTGCTGTTGCTGCTGCTGTTGCTGTTGCTGTTGCTGTTGCTGTTGCTGTCGTTGCTGCTGCTGCTGGGAACGCTGCAGGGCTTGCTGTAATAGCGTCGCCTCAGACGACTGGTCGTGAAGCTGACGCGGTGCGCGATGATTGGGGTACTCGCAGTCACCCGAATCCAGCGAAAAGGGTGGTGGAGAGGCAGAGGTCGAGCCCATGGCTACGCGATAGTCCGTTGGTTCAGGAGGAAGAAGATTAGCAACAGGACCCCAAGAATAATCTGCGGGGGCGCGGGAGGGGTGCTGAGGAGGAAAGGCGCGTTGCTGATGCGCGGATGGGACGACGGAAGGAAGCGCGGCGTAGTATTTTCCGTCGTTATTGGTCGATGATAATTGGTCGGAGAAGTGGTAGGGAGGCGTAGAGAGTTGAAAAGGATACGGGGAGGCGTAATCTGCGGCGGGATCACGGGTGTGGATGCGCTCCGATGCGTGAGACGAGAAATGGCGGGATCGACCATAGTAGCTGTCCGGGCTCGTGATGTTTCCGACGCCGAAAGGGCTCACCGGGGACGGTGGAATGCAATTCGGCTCCGTAGAGAGTGGTTCCATGGTGCAGGGTCTGGGAGCCTGGTTGGGAGTAGCAAACGACGATTGTGGGATTGGTCGTCGCCAATCTGTCATGTCGCCGCACGGGTATGTTTGCTGTGTTGAATCCATGAGGCGGCGAGGATCGCTTTATCTTGACGCCATGGACGGGCGATGCTTCTGAAGAGAAGTTGTTCGGGACGTGAGTTGGTTGGAAGCAGATGTGTAAGGGAGAGCAACGGAGAAGACACCACCGGCTAGAATTGGAACCGAGTTCTAAAGGTCGATAAGTGAACGCTGTGACCAAGGCACCGGGCTTTGTAAGTGGCATTCTACATAGGAAACCCAATGCATTTTGTGAAACCAGGGTGGTGCAAAACCAGGGTTGGTGTCCTTGCTTATCAGCTAACCAAGGGAGTTGCTTGAACCAGCAGATAGGATGAGATGGTGTGGGTGAAATCAGGGAGAAAGATGATCAACGGACGGATGAGATCGAAGAGATGAAAGAATCGGTGGGTCGGATGAAACCCAGGGAATGTTGTGGTGAAACCAAGGGTGGCTTTCTTGGAATGCAGGGGCGGCGCGGGAATCATTATGGGCCAAGGGTGAGCGGGTGGTGGTGGGCTCCCAGAAGCGCTGGTTCAATTACAGCCTACCAATCGCAAGCAACGCGGATGGGGAAGGAAATGTAGAGGGGGTGGAGGGGGGAGGAAGGGGAGGGGCTGCACTGAGTCTTCTTGACACACAGGAATCTCTCGTAGCAAGTGTGTTTGGCGTGAGCGCTGCAGCAATCCGGCATGCCGCCCCCTGGGCTACGGGGAAGCGCGCACGCTATTGGAATCCCGTGTCGCATTGGATGTGGCTTTTGCGACCCCTATTCAGCGAATATTCAAGGGCAACGCGGCATCGCACTTCGCCAAAGTCACACGCTTGTGCCTTGTCCCGACTTGAATCCTCGAACTGCAATCCGGGGCAGCAACTGGCATCGCCGAGTCCAGAGCTGAATTACTTCTCGCCAAAGTCACAAGATTGCATTGACCGCAATATGGATGGGGTAGTGTGCAGCGGTGTGAAACATCTAGTTGGAGTTGACCATGCGATTTTTTAACGGGTACAATGAATCGAGGTAGGATTGCACTAAGTGTCAGACGAGTACAAAATTTGAGCGAAGGCATGAGCAAACATTTATACGCGAAACATGCAAACGGTAACGCGGTGCGTGCGAGCTAGCTAGTGCTATGCTGGCAGTGAGGTTCGGGCTAGTCCCGAAACGTAGGCCGACACGGCCGGCCCAGCAGTGCGAGGTTTGGTGAAACAGTGCGCGCGAAGTCGGCGAAGCCCCGTTAGCAGTAACGGGCGAACAACGGCTGCTGCTGTACGCGATGTTGCAAGGCGCGCTAAGGAATGTCGAGAAAATTCCTTACAGATTTCAACAAAACATGCCTCAAAACTCCTTTATGGATCTTCTTTTGAGTTATATTATTTAATTGCGTAATCCGTTGCGTACCTAGCGTGTTGGTGTGTTATGCATGAAACGCACTAGTTATGTAAACATGTGCATGACCGAAAATTCTAGAACGTCATTATGGTAATGGTATATGAAAAAGATCAAAATATATATGTATATATAGCAAAAACAATCAAAACCAGTGCCGTATATTTCCATGAGGCAGAGGTTGAGGCTATCGTTTCTCGAACGATGATGTGATGGGAGTTTCACCAAATTGATACATGACAATAATGGCAGTGACCGCACCGTACCTTTCACAGCAGCACTCTTCTACCACAGCCCTCTGCACCTCTCCTCTCATTCCCTCACATTAGGATCCTTGCCATCTAGGTCTAGACCCACCAAACCACACCGATGTGTTTCCCTGACCATCGTCGCACACATGCTCACAATTGTCAAGAATGAAAGTGTTGCATTCACAATGTTGGTTGGGGTACATAAACCTAACCCTAAGAGTTGCACCTCACATCACTAAGACTACAACATTTGACACACCCCCATAGTCTAAGTGAGGGGTGTCAAGCAAAACCAAAAGTGTACGGTCACAAGACCAGTCACAAAGAAACAAAGCTCAGGGTGGATCACAACGTCACCACACACGCTGAGCACAAACAAAAGAGGCCACAAGGCCAGTCTAAGAGTTCACAAACATATAAGCAAAGTGTACAAGCAAAGCAAGCAGAGAACTCAAGTCTACATACGACGAGAACCTATGTCAACAAGGCCTAACTGCACACAGCACCTCTGGTGGTCACAAGGCGGAAGCGCCTTGGTGAAGATGTCTGCAGTATTGGCCTCAGACTCCACAAACTCGAAACGAGCTTGTCCACGTCTCTGCAACTCTCGCAGAAGAAATTATCTGATGTTAATGTGCTTCACTCTGCTCTCCAGTCGCGGCTCTCGACAGAGGAGAACCGACGCCTTGTTGTCAGTGAACAAGGTCGGTGCAGAGCTCGGCCGCTCACCGAGGTCGGCGAGCAAGAAGGTCAACCAACGCAGCTCCTGTGCCGCCATGGCACCAGCGTAGATCTCAGCCTCAGCGGTAGAGGTCTAGACCAAGGAGGAACGCATGGACCTCCGCGAAACAGCTCCAGAATTCATGCTGAAACAGTACCCCTGAGTTTGACCTGTGAGTCTTAGCGTCGTCAGCGTAAGAAGAGTCACAGTGACCAGTAAGTACGACAGACTGCTGCCCTCCAAGAACTAGCCCCACGCCTGATGTCGTCGCTAGGTACTTCGCCACTCTCACAGCTGCTGTCCAGTGAACAGGACGGTGTCTCCCTGGCGCAACAAAGCGAGCAAGGATGCTGAGAGGGAAGGCGAGGTCCGGGCGAGTACAAGTCATCAGGTACATGAGGCAGCCCACCAGCTCTGCGTAGGCACCACTAGGCTCAAACGGCTCGTCAGGAAAGGGTCCAGTAAGTCTGTGGTCAACAGCAAGAGGTCTGCGCTGTATTGTGGAGTGCTGGAGCTCGAATCGCTGAAGGACCTGCTGCACCATGTGTGACTGTGAGAGTGTGCAAGCAGCTCTGTCCCTGGTGATCTGCAGGCCAAGGTAGTGGCGCAGCTCACCAAGGTCAGTGCACGTGTGTCTCTTCTGCAGTTCGGACTTCACGTCTGCCAAGGCAACCCTGTCAGCAGTGGCAAAAACCAGGTCGTCAACGTAGACCAGAACAAAGAACGGTGTGGAGCCACGACGAACGAACAGCGACGGGTCTGCAGAAGACGGCTGGAAACCAAGGTCAGACAGGGTAGAACGAAGGGTGTCGTGCCACCGACGAGGAGCCTGACGGAGACCGTAGACCGGTCGCCTCAGCCTCCACTGGGTCCCAGGAGGGAAAGTGCCAGTGAAGGCAGAGGGACGACGCAACTAGACCTCCTCGTGTAAGTACTCTGAAGGAAGGCAGTGGAGAAGTCGAGAGAGTGTAACTCGTAGTCTCTTTGTGCTGCTACGTGAAGTAACACCCGAAGAGTGGTCATCTTCGGGGTAGGCGCGAAGGTGTGAAAGAAGTCAACTCCCTCGCGCTAACTGAAAACTGTAGCCACGTAGCGTGCCCTGAAGACCGGAGGAGATCCCGGTGGCCGTTTTACTATGTAGATCCACATGCCATCGACTACGTTCGCCCCAGGGGGGGGAACCTTGTCGACGTAGAGTGCCTATGGATCTGTAGGAGGCCATCTCTGCGTCCATGGCAGCTCTCCACTGAGAGGCCCAAGGCCCTGACACTGCCTCAGCATAAGTGCGAGGAGTCGGTATCTCAAGGGCGTCAGGGTCTCCCTTAGGGGCGAGCAGCATTGCACAGAGATGAGGGGAAGCGGCTCTCAGGAACTCTAGCTCAAACTGCCTGTCCTCTAGGGCGTCTTAGCCAAGGGAAGACTCACCGCCGACGGCCAGAGGACTGGTAGGAGGAGTAGCCACAAGACTGGTGGCGTAGGCAAGGCGGCGAGTAGAGGCAAACTCAGTGACTGCGGCAGTAAGAGTGGAGACAGAGGACAAAGAGGCACGAGGGTGGGTAGCAAGAGAGGCGAGAACACGAGAGAGAACAGGACGGTACGCGCGGTAGTAGTCAGTGACAGGAGTAGAGAGGGAAGCAGTGAGGGCCGATCCAGGGGGAGACGGAAGCACAGACGGAGACGAACGAGGCGGACTACGACGGAACAGAACTGTGCGAAGGTCAGTGAGGGGAACAGGGGACGAGGGACGAGCACAAGGAGAGCAACGAGAGGGCCAAGCGTGCGAAGGAGGAGGAGACACCGGAGGCGGAGAACGAGTGACAACAGCTGGGGAGTAGTCAGGAGGAGGAAACTTGGGACCGTAGACAGGAGGAGAGGGGGAAGAGGAAGGAGAGCGAGAGGGGAGACCGAGGGTCCGAAGACCGGAGACAGGAGGAGGAGGCAGCAGCAGCAGCTGCTGCTGCTGCTGCTGCTTCTGCGGCTGCTGCTGCTGCTCCTGCTATAGCTGCTGCTGCTCCTCCTGCTGCTGCGGGGGCTCCAGCTGCGGCTGTTGCTGCTGCTCCTGCTGCTGTTGCTGCTCCTCCAGCCGCTGCAACTCTAGCTCCTCTCTCTCCAACTCCAGCTGCTCCTCACAGGCACGGCGAACACAAGCGTGGAGCCGGGTCGGGTAGGGGTGGTGGGAGGAGTAGTGTTCGGGGCCGAGGCAGCCCCAGGACCGCCGTCCAAAGCACCCGGTGCACCACCCCCAGAGTCAGCCCCAACAACAGCAACACGGCCAGGCTCACCAGGACCTGGAGGGGGCGCACCCACACCCCCAGACGTAGCACCCCCAGGGTCAGCTCAACCAACACCAGCTCCCGGAAGACGAGAGTCGCCTGCAGCCACAGGCTCAGCTCCAACTCCAGCACCCCCAGAACCAGAACCCGGCACAGGGACGCTCTCAGAACGAACTCCAACTCCTCTAGAGTTAGCACCTGCAGGGTCCTTTCTACGAACACCGGCTCCCGCAGGGTCTGCAGTAGGTTGTGAGGAGGACTGCGGGGAAGGAGGCTGCACCTGA